GGCTGTCGGCTCCAGGTTCGTGCTAACCCGGAGAGGAGGTTAGCAAGCTGAAAGTATTCCTCTGCTATTAATGCCTATAGTAATTCACTTAGATATAAAGAGGTAGTATTATCTAAGCTCTCTTTTATATGCTTTATAAATACTTCTTTGTAGATATACTTAGTAAAATCTTATATAAGATTAAAGTTGCTAGCGCTAGTTACGCTTATAGGGATTAATTAACTAGAGATAGCGCCTAAGTCCTAGAAACAAGTTAGAAACATGTTACAAACAGGTTATAGTGCGCTATAAAACTTGCTTATTATCTACTTGTTATATATATTAATAGTAGTCCTATAGAATCCCTCTAAGTAAATATGCCTCTATAACACTTATCTTTTTATAAGTGCTTTACACTTCTAAAAGAAGTTAGTAATAGCAACTTAATATATCTTAGTTATATCCTTATCTATAATAATTTAGCTAAGTATAATAACTATAATATATTAGAAACATATTATAAACCTATTCTTAATACGTACGCTTCTTTTCCTATAGGTAGAAGATTACTATTAGAATCTCTGCCTATACCCTATATAACCTCTTATATAATATATCTATCTAGAACGTGTCTTAATCTAATAGAATTAATGCCTACTCTTTAAAAAGGTAAATAATTAAGTTACCTAAGCTTAATATAAAGATTTGCTGTATATACGCCTATAGTAACGTGTTAGCAACGTGTTCTAAACCTGTTCTCTTACACTACGTATAGTTTTAGGATCCTAATGCTTTATCCTTTACTTATAGTGTACTCCTCTAAGGCTACTCTTAAATAGGAACTATAGAAGCTTTTCACGCTTTATAATACGCAAGATTTTATCTTTATTTATAAAGCTAATATATATTTCTTTAATAGAATAGAAACCTTTAAGTTAGAGATAGGTTTAGAGCTAGGTTAAGTTTAGGAACTAGGCTATAATAAGTTAGGAACACATTTATAATAGGTTACAAATAACTTATATTATATAAGCTATAGAGTAAGCATAGGCTACAACACCTTTACTACTTCCTTAATATTACTATTAGATAGTGTTAAGGGAGGAGGAGGTATATATATATGTATACTAAAAGAAATAATAGTAAAAAAAGGTATTGCTACTATATCTATTAGTATAATTACTTAGAAGGTAACTTTATATAGGATTTTAAATAGAGATCCTTGCC